TTCAGCAGAAGAATACTGGAGTTCAGTTTGCAAGGAAGCATACCTAGGATTACCTCACAACTCCTGCTGCTAAAGCTTTGCTGACCATCAGTCCGAGCCTTAACTATTTCTCTTATCAACACACCTAAGAGATTAGAAGAATGCTTTGAGGCTGCCAGCAGCCCACAGGTAAGGAACGTATTAAATACATGTTTAACATTATACTAGCACATGTATGGAGCACTGAAACTGGCAGTGTTAAAACAAACAATGAAAGAGTCACCAGTTTGAAATCCACTGATTCAGGCAAGGATCATCAATGGGCTGTTGGAAGGTGTCAGTGTAAAGACTACCTGCCAATTTTACAGCAAGAATGGTCTCTTTACAAAGAAGCAATCTTGAGGGTTGTCACTTTTACGAAGGGTCCAGTTAACATCACCACTGGCCCACAACATCCTGAAGGGATGCAATGCGAAGCACTGTATATCACCCACGAGCTCCTTCATCCAAAAATGTTTACCTGAATCTGAGTAAACATTTAGACCTAATTTTCAATTTTTAGGCAAAACCAGAAATAAGCAAATTAAGCAGCATCACAAAGAAGGAAGCTAACAGTTCTAAAAAGGAGGACATTTATAAGGCAACTGGCCTGGTATATTTAAGTAGCTATTATTACAGAACAACAAAAAACACCCAAACTTAAAAAGAGGAAGTCTGCTCTAGTTTAAAAGAAATTATAAAGAGACATAGAAACCAAACGCTACGCATAATGCAATGCTTGGTGGGGGCGGTCATTTTCATGGAGACAAATGAACCATCTGAATTTGAATCAAGATTAGGAGATTATTGCTAATTTCTTTAGGGGTGATAATAGTATTTTAGTTAAATAAGCCAGTGTCTTTTTTTCTTTTTTTCAGGGGAGAGCACGAACGCAGTCCCCCACTACCACAAATTATGCAGTCAAGTTTCCCACATTTGGGGAAATCACAGGGGTCAGCACACCTGGAGTGCAATGGATAAGCCTCGCCCTGGGAAAACCACCTTCGTGATCATGGTATCTCCCCTGCCAGGTAAGAATGCCAGTGTCTTTTATTTAAGAGATACATGCTAAAAAATCTAGGCTTAAAATCTTAGACCAAACACTTAAAAATGTTCTCTGAAAAAAAAAATGTATATATATATATATATATATATATTCTTATATGAACCCAAAGCAAATATAACAAACATTAACAACTATTTCATACACATGACACATATATGGCATTTCATTTTATTAGCTTTTCAACTTCTCTGGGTCTTGAAATGTTTCACTAAGATTAAAATTAAAAATTAAAAAAAATGCATGCAGTCCCACCTATTCAGTACGGTGAGGCAAGAGGCTCAATTTAGCCCAGGAGGTCAGCCTGGCCAGTGGAATGAGACCTTGTCTCTAAATAAATACATACACACATACATAAATAGACTTAAAAAGAGGAATGGAGCTTGATTTTCCCCTTTTAACATCCAGGAAGTTGCTGGTGGGGTCCAAAGGAGGGTGTGGAAGGCTCCCCTTTTTTTGTCCTTAGCACTTAACACACCAAGAGATGGCCCCTACATATTTGTTAATCAATGCAATGAAAGAATGGATCCACTCTTCTCTTGGTAAGTACTGGGTGGCTTTTGAGAGAGGGGTACATTCATAGCAAGTCCCCAAGAGGAATGAGTTGCTAACAGAAAAACACTACTCAGGAGCAGAGACAAGATGACATAACACACAACAAACCCAGACCCTGTGATGTCTAAACCACCATGACTGCAAATGTCCTGTCCCACTATTCACAGTGGACAATTCCAAAGAGTGGATCAAGACTCTGACCTTTGGTTCCGATAACATGCCCAACAGAAACACAGAGCACCTACAATTCACTTATTCACACTTTCCATATGCATAGGTCTAGGACAATGAAGTTGCCAGGTGAATATTTAGCTCAGAGAAAGCTGGAATGAGTGTCTCTCCACAGTGTGACCTCCGTGCTTCCAGCATCTATACAGCAAAGACTTCCGAAGAGCTTTCTTTAAATACTACTTCTCGATTTTTGTAGACGTTTTTATTAAGAAAAAAAAAAAAAGTCCCACTATATGATTCATGTACATTGCTATTCAAGCTTTATCCCTTCTAAATGTTTTCCAAAAGTGATGCTAGGGAAATAAACATCAGGTCATCGCAATTCTTGCCTACTAAGCACATGGCACATGGAGCAAAATAAAGCAGACATGGCCTTGCCCGCCAAGGACTTACGGAATTCTAGGAGAAGCTAGCATTCAATAAACACAGAAATAATGGCAAATCTGCAAAAGCACTATAAAGGGAGGGTGGTGTCCCAGGGCAGTACACAGCAAAGGCACTGCATGGGAGAGGTTCCCGAGAAGAATATATGGGACCTGGATTGAACTGTTAACCCTAGGAACAACGTTCAGTCATAATATCAAACTAAAAGCAGTATGTCGATGTATATATTTCTGCTTACACAAGATATAAATAGCCATTTTCAGAACGAACCAAAGGATTTGTGCCCTTCTTAAGGAAAACCCAAAAACCAAAGTTTTAGAATTAAGTCACTTGTAGTATCTTTTGCATCAGAATAATTAAAAGAAAAAAATCAATAATGTATAATTCATTTCAGAATCAACCACGTTTAATTTCCATAAACCAAAAATAAGTAGGTTGATGAAAAACCTGCGTTCCATGTAGAGAAGACCGTTTCCTTCACAGCTTGAAAGTTTCTGAAATTTAACAACAGTACCCTAGATTGGGCCTAATTTTTCAATTCCATGGTTCAGTTTTAAGATCTGATCATCAAATAACTTTATCAGCATAGTCTTATTTGGTGACTTGCTGAGAAAGAAAATAAATTTGGATGAAGGTAGTGCTTGGTCTTCACTTGAGAAAAGACAAGAGCTGGGACACTCAGTAGAGCGTTCTGTATACAGATTTAAAGGCACCTTACTGATTTTCAAACAAACCATAAATTCCGCTGCCATTTAAGCGAAGGTTCAGATACAACATATTTGCAGGACTTAAATAACCTAACTAAGGTAAGAACTCTAAAAGCTTTATCAAGATCAGTAGTAGTGCCAAATTCTCAACACGAGTCATTAAAATAGAACATATTTCTGCAGAACATTCTAGAAAACTATCAAACTTAGCTGCACACCTAGGAGCCGTTTGAAAGACACAGGCCAACTTCTAAGATAATAATTTAACTGTCTCAGCACCCAGCTTTCTTGCTGTCAATATCTCTCCTTCCCTCTTTCCCTCTTTTCCAGGACCCACTAATAAAAGAATCCATGGCTTTGAACTCAGGCTTGTATCCCAGAAAGAAAATGCAAACAACCCCTAGTAATCGATGCTGAATTCCATTCAAGGGGAAAGTTCAGCCCTAGTCATAATCATTTATGTCAACCTCATCTTTCACTCAAAACAGCAGATTTCAGCAAAATCAAAAAGGTTGTGAATCATGAAATATCCTATTTCAAAGCAGGAAAAAGAGGCCAAAAGCAAATGATATATTTTTTCCTTCTGTCATCTGGAATTAGATATTGGTTATTATAGGATTATGACTGGACTATCTTACAAAAAAAGTCTATTGCCACTCGTTTTGATGTATCAGACTTTCCATTATAAATTTTATTTTCTCTGCCAATAAAAGTAGTATGAGGTTGCAATTTGGCAAGAAAGTTTCAAGCCTGGGTGTGATTTCCATATACCAATTAGATTTTAAAAAGTTTTCCCATATTTAGCGTGAACTTTTAAAAAGTCCGTTTGACCACTTTTACTTGCTCATTTTCTATACAATTTTGAAAGTCTCAAAAAGTCACCATGTATATTTCTGATAATTTCACATGGCAATGCATTGATGAAATTATATTACTCCTCATATCTTAATGAAAACAACCTAAGTGATAATAAAGATATACTGCTGGCTTTTCCCTTTCTTCTAAAACAATCATTTTTCACAAGCCATGTCTGTCTCTATTAATATCAGATTCTGAAGAGAAACAAAATGGAAATACATGTATTTATTAACCTGACGATTTTTGAAACAGAATCTATCTTACAGTAACAATTCCTCCAGGACAGATTTACGACCTGTTGCTATTACTACTTTTCCACAGCAAACAAAAAGCCACTGGCACTGGAATAAAGCATGTGGCCAGACAACCCTGCTCAGGCCTCCAAGTCCACAGGGCACATTGTTGCAATAATAATTTTTAACAAGCAGCTTAGAACTCCTGAGGGCATACAGTCTGAAGGTTTTCTGTCCAGCATCTCAATAATGTAGCAAACAGGAGGAAACAAAAGCCCCTCTCCCAGAGTGTCACTCACCTTGTCACACAGTGGGGAATCATTTCAGCTGTGATCTGCTATTTAGACTTGAAGCCCAAGACACCAGGATTTTGCCTTTCTTTTTTGGTTTGTATAGCTGGTGGAGTAGACAGGGATTCAAAGAACAATGCAGCCCAAGAGAAACTGATTTCTGAAAGACACACTATGGTCTGTTCTATTCTCAAATTTCACAGACAGCAGAAATTCACATTGTGGACACTTCTCGTCTTCTGGCCCTAGTTCCCCACGCAGGGAATTTCTAATATATTTCCTTTTTCTTATCCTTAAGTCATCACACTGTGTGTGGATTCTGCTGAGACCATGCTAAGCTCTTGCAAAACTCACAACCATCAAGCAGAAATAAGAATGAAGGAGACTCCACACTCCCAACTACATTCTGAAGCTTTTTAAGATAGCAGATGCAGTCAGAGCCCCATATACAAAAGAATTCTCCTGCACAGGAACGACTCAAGAGGAGCCTCCCAAGGCCCAAATATTCAACCATCACATGCCAGCCAGCCACCTCCAGTCCCCCCACTGCCCCTCTCCGCTTCTCACCTTGTGTTTGCAAAAAAAAAAAAAAAAAAAAAAAAATTAAGTTCACTTTCCCCCCGAGAGAAGGATTGCCCACAAACGGAGGGAGGAGGGTCTGTGTACTGCACGCACAGGCAGACTCACACGGTCTGGATGATGCTTTCACAAGTTAAGGGGCCTCACGCTTACTCAGCAGAGGAAATCTTTGTGTCTGTGAGGAATCACGCCAATTCCTATTAGTAAGAAAGGATACAGGGGCGAGGAAGCCTATTCTCTCAATGACCAGCAAGAGGGGCCCAGCAAAAACAGAGACCTCTGCCATGACCATCTGCGCAAAGGAAGGATGTAGTCAACTTTCTTCTCCCCCAAACCCCAGTGACCTCCGCCTTGACCCTCAGAAACCAGAGCCACAGGAACCAGCTCTCGGCTCTCCAGCAGGAATTGAGAGCTTTACACCAGAGACCCAGCACCGGCAGGCTCGTCGGCTAGGCTATCTGCCCCGAACATGTGCACTCACATTCCAAAGATGCTTCCGTTCTGCTGGAATGGCTGTAAATTTCTTTCCTGCAGAATTCTTTCCAAACAAACTGCCATGAACTGCACTCCGGCAGGAGTTCCGAACCAAGTACTGTTCACCTCATCGCAACAAATCTTTTAGGTGCCGAATGTGACTAAATTGGCAACTGGGCCAAAGTCGTCAACTTTAAAAATGCAAATGTATACAGGGGGGGGAAAAAACTAAGACACCACCCCACCAGAATTCCACCTTTCATGATAGATGGCGGAACCACGCTCTGGTTCGTTAAGAGAGTGCATGTGTGCTTACATTTTTCAGGCATGTATTAAACAGGTAATTTTTTTTTTTTTAAATCTCCAATGGATTTTTCCCCCCATATCATTAAAGAAACTGGGAGGGTGATAGAGTTCAAAAGAGTAAGCATCCCTTTTCCAGCATAAAAACAATGCATGCACATGTACTATTCCTAAACAGCTTTGTATATTAAAGGATCTTATTAAATCTTATCAAGTTTTCCAAAGTAAGAGACCAGTGTTCTCCTAAAAAGAAAGTACAATTTTAAAGAAATGGTTTAAATACATGATTAATACTGAGATGGAAATAAAAAAGAAAAGTCTATAAAATTTCGATTGCCTTGAAATAAAGCTTTTACTTTTGCCTATGAGTAGTATTTTTAGAGAAATAGGTTCTCTCTTCCGAGCGTTAAAAGTACACAAATGCAGAGTGCACAGAGGCACAAACACACATGCTATACCTTTGTATTACACTGGCATTTTATTATTTAATTAAAGTACTCTTATTTTTCTAGCTCACGCATGCCTCCCTTGAGACGCTTTGCTGTTAGCCTGCTGGCCTTGACTTCCAGCCAAGAACAATTCAGAAACAAAAAGGGACAACAAATCATATTTTCACAGACATTTTTATCCCTCAATACCACCCTGTTTTCACACAACATCGTACAGCCCCTATGAAAACTGCAATTTAGGGCAACAGCCACCCGAACCCAGGGTCTGACACATGATTCCACATAGCATTTCCTGTGTAAGAAATTCTTAACTTCTTAATTGCAAATAAACTCTTTTGATAGACCCACTATCACCGACGTTGCTGGTTTGCAAACAGTGCCACTGGTACCGGATAATGGAGTAAAAAATAAAAACAAGCCAGTGGATGAAGTTCTGATCCGGCAGAGACCTAAAGATGAGCAGTTTATTAGTTTTCATCTCTGAATTATTTTGTTACTTGAAGACAGTCATCAGCAGCCCCTCTCCGGGCATTTTAGAATCACGGTGGAAAATGCAAAATGGAATTTGCAAAACACGCTCATCTCCCAGGTTCAGCTTCTCCCTTCTTCCCCAACCAAGAGTTGCACTTACCTGGTGACAACCCTGTAAGTTTGATTCTCTCCCATAAGATGAGTATGAGCCCCTTTCTGTTTTACCTGCCAAGAGAAACAACAAAACAGTATAAATCGGGCTTTTCCTTTAAAAACCTCTCCTGCAGGTAACAGGCACCTACTTCTCTCCCGATGTTTACATACGTAAAGTAGGCACTACTTGCAATGTATGCAAGCAAGAGAGGGGTGACACTTCCTCACTCTGGCGATGATAAACTGGAAGAAAATATCCTTCATTCCTATTCTTAGCCAAACTGCTCCACACTTTCAGAAACTGTCATTCCAATGGTCTCCACTTTCTCTAACAAACAAATTGTCATTCCTTATTTTCACTTTCTTTCTCTCTCCCCAAATTTAAACAATTTCATTTTTATTTACACAGAAGGCAAATTATCTATGTAATGACCCCAGCCTAGTAATTCCCATTGATTATATTGACACTTAATGGGGAGGCCAGAGCTAATCAATCACAGGCTCTCCAGATGGTGAATTTAGCAAAGAAACTATTCAAAATTCTGAGTCTCTCTCTCCCTCTCTCTTTTTTAACAAAACCCCCTTTCCCAGGAGTAAATCTCATCATGATCAAGATGATGACTGGGTTTCCGTTTGGGAGAAAGGGGTTTTGGAAAATCACCCACTCTGAACCCAAGTTCAGATTCCACCAATATACCCAGAAGACCCAGGAGTCAAACATGAATGTCATATTCCAATTCCAACAACTGAACATTCATCTGTACACTGCTCTACAGACATGTATAGAACCTCTCATGCTATTTAGCTACATCTCTGGATAAAACCAAGACTGCTTATTTGTTTCTTTATAAAGTTTGTTTAGCCTTAATAATCATCAAGAAAGATAATGAAATCACATTACAAGAGATCTAAGCTATAGAGTCCAGCTGGTGGCGTATAAAGAGCTGGCACAGAAAACTGCCCATACCAGGAGATAGATGACAAGGAGCTAATGAGGTGGTCAAGGGCTCAGGACCTCACCCAAGGTGAAGGACAGGTCTTTCTAAGACGAGAGCTGTAAGGTGTGTTGTACCTCGTACACAGGGCCATAGTATTATTTTTTCCAATGGGAAAATTCAAAACTTGTATTTTGAGGGGCTCGATCAATATCCTTTTAAGGTTTATAACCCCTAGTTTCCCTTCTCTCCCCCAGTCAACACAGATGCTAAAAGTAGTAGTAGTCTTTTTCTCATATAGTTCAGCAGCATGGTTATCAGAGTATGTTTTCTTGACAGCACACACAATGAATGTATCTGAGAAAATTTCTCTCTTCAAAAGCATGCTCTGTATGTAAGTCACCTATCACATGGAAGGTGATTTTTCAAAGAAAGCCAAACTGAGTCCTAATATTACCCTCTTCTCCTCACTACTAACTTTTCTGCTGATTTTAATGAATCTCAAACTTGGGAAAACAACGCCTCATTTCTGGCATAGTGTTCAGTTGAAAGTACAGAATCAATATTCATATCAGTTTCAATTCCAGTGAAACAAGACTCCATTGCCCAGAACGTGGGTTTTGGGAGATCTAAGAGGAACTTGCTTTGTATTTGACTGTATATTGAAGGACAAGTGAGTCTACCTGTGTCCACAGTGCAAATGGTCATAAACACATTCTAACTCTTTCATGAGAGACAAGTTTCAGCTAGTCATACCCTTTAGCTGCTCTTTATAAATATAACGAACAGAAAAGGCTCGACCTTTGTGAGCTATAGCAAACAAGGCATGTCCTTCTTTAAGCTCTTGCGTCTGAAAACTCTTAGTACAACTATGATGTACTTCACTTTGATATAATATTCACTGTTCAATCACTACACAAGCAGACAGACAAGCAGTCAGAAAGACAGAAGAATAAAACAGAATTTGCTTTTACTTTACAGGTTACTTATTGGGTAATTTCCAAATACTGAATTGTAAAATATAGCTTGAGGAAGAAAGGCTACAATTTTTTTTCTAGAGAAGGAATTATTGGAAGTGATCCCCAATAAAATTTTAGCACCCAAGATTATTTCCCAAACTCAATTCCAACACATAGAACTAAAGAGAAGACTTTTCCTACTAGGACTTGTCTTGCTTCATATTTGTAAACAGGGGTTATGCTTTCTGTTATTTTAAAGCCAGAAGATCAATGTAAATAGCAAGGATTTGCGAGAGAGATAGAGAAAAAGAGAGAGAGAGAGAGAGAGAGGGAGAAAGGAAAGGAAGGGAAGGGAAGACAATAGGTGGGAGAGAAAGGAAGGAGAGGAAGAACAGACTAGAAAGAGCAAGTGTGTAGGAAGGGAGAAGAGGAGGCAGGAAAAGAAGAATGAGAAGAATATGAATTCACACTGCAGAGTACAGAGTCCACAAAGTATTCCTGGCTACATGGGCCCAGCATCCTTTACTTTCATATCACATACAGACTGCTTAATCTTAATTTTGCTTGTTAAAAAATATTTATCCAGATACAAAAATAAACCCACTGCAAATTACAAGTTGTCAGGGTTAAAAATCTACTCGTGTTTGTGTGGGGGAGGATGAGAGACCAGCCTAGACATGAATCATTCTCAGTAATTTGAGTGTTTCCATGACATCAGCAGGCACCCGTCCAGGACTCTGTCGAAGTCTGCGAGGTACCAAAGAGGCAGCACAGCCAGCAGGAGTCTGGGAGGTGGACTCTTTTTTTTTTAAGGATTATGCTCCTTGTGAAGATTTCATCTGTAGCATCCACTTTTACCATCAAATAGATCGCTCCAAAGATCATGAGTGAACACACTTCATTCTGATAGTGGAAGCCTTTACTTTCTTGTGGCTTTTTGTTCCCAAATTCAACTATAAATCTGCACTCCCAGCCCAAGCCCCTGCGTGGAAGCAAAATAATCAGGGATTGTGGCTAAAGCCCAAGGACCTCCTCAAACATCAGACTTTTATTCCCATCATTTCCTGAAATGCTAAAAAAGCAGCCATCTTAAAATGACACCTCAAGTTTCAGAAAAAAAAAATCTTTTGTGTACATTGTCCATTGAAAATTAGCTATGATCTTGGTGCTGATTTTCTGCTTTAAAATTCACTGGGATATTTGTTTGAGATGATAAAATTTTCAGGAGCTCTGCTGCAATGTTTGAGTAGGACCTTTAAGTAACTATCTGTGTTCATGAACAAAAGCTCCTAATACCTGCGTTTACTCTACATGAGGCATGGATTTTTGTCACTTCTGTACCAACTGGCTGGCAAGGACAACCTCTTTCCTCCTTTCTCCATCCTTCACCCCCTCATCCCCATAACCACAACGGGAGCTTAGAAAAAAAAAGCTCCAGATTCTATTTTTCCAATATTTAAAAGAGATAGCAGCAAAGAACAACCCCGGCGTGCTCACTGTGGAATTTTCGAGACAACCCTACAGTACCAGAGTGCGACAGCCGCTGCGGATATTTTTTGGCACAAAGACAATGGTGGCAGTGCCAAGCCCCATGGCTGAAACTACTCAAAAGAGGCATAAGGGGGGCATTAATCGCGCAAGTCTTTTACTGCATAGAGTATCGTGGTCCATATTTTAAAAACGAAAAGTACCCGTTAGTAGCATTTGTCCTGTGCCCATAAACGAGGGGGAGGGGATTCTGAAATCTGTACCAGAAACAAATCTTGTCAGGCGTTTGATTCATTTTATACCTAAAAGGACCAAATGTTAAATTTCGCTGCTGGGGAGGATTTCCATGCACCAGACGAAAGATGTGACCTGATGAAGTACACTGAGGGCTCAATGAAAAAGCCAAAGAGAGGATTTCAGAAGCGAACTCGACATATTGGCTAAACAAGTTTCTACTGCAGAAATGGTGTATACAAGGAACATGTAATACTATGTCACTTTTTTTTAAAATTAGACAAAAAAAAAAAAATGCTGAAAATGAACAGACCGAGCATCCGCCAATCAATCCTCCTGAAGACAAAGGAGATCAACACACAGCCCTTTTCTAGAACAAGTCGGCGTCTACAGGGAGCAAACAATTCAGAGAGTCAACATGTGTTTTGTCAAATTGAACCCATCACACTGCTAAAGTCTATATTTAAATCTGATTATTAAAAATGACCCCCAATGACAATGCGGAAAAGATTCGCTTGATATTTCTGTTGTCCCTAAAAATCTAAGCAGAAAACATCAGCAACTTAGATTTTTTTAAAGCCTGTTATTTTTGCTCATCTATTAAATAATCTTTTATCATGCTGTCCCTAGAAGTAGAGGAAAAAAATTTTTTAGGGGGTAGAAGGGTTAACAAATGTCTGGGGAAACCAAATTGAGTATTTTTATATTCTCATATTATTTTCCATTTGACTTCCAATTTTTCTTCCAGTGTATATATGGTATCCTGCTGTAGGGGAATTGGAGGAGAATGAAAGTATTACATGATGGAAAAAATGATCTCATAAATCTATTCCATTCACAGGGATGCTTCCTGATAGAATCACCTTTGGTACATTACTGCACCTGGACACACAGGATCGTTCAAAGCCACATGGAAGAGCCAGAGTCAGCCACAGGCAGTTTAGCTATAGAAGATCTCTGAAGAGAAGTGACGACATAAGACAATCCCTCTGGTGGTTGACCGGTAGGGTCATATGACTGGGTCATATTTGAATTTGTAGCCTTTTATTAGCAAAGGCCATGTCCAAAATTATATGTAAATGGTAGGTGTTTTACCTTCCACTAAAGCTGTCACACCTGGGGTAGAACACGGCGTCCTGTGCAAAGTGATCTGATGCTGCAGGACAGCAGCCTCCCTGCCACCTCTCCTTCTGGGAATTGAAGAATGAGCCTTTTGTTCCCCAGACTCAGGCTAGGAACTCATCATAAAATGTTTGTGATAGAATATACTTCTGTCCCCATCCCTAGCCCCAACCCATCTTTGCTGACCTATTGTAATTTCTTTTTTTTTTCCTGTAAAACATTCACAGAAAAGGATGAATTTATTTAACAATAACTACAAGTTTTAGGAATACTGAGAATATCGACGGGTGATTATTTAAGGACCTGTCACCTTTTGCATGGCTGCCTTTTTTTC